GCTGCCCCTCGACAGCAGCCTCGCGCCCCACGAATCGCCCGAGCCCGACTCAGAGTCCTACGATGCGCTGGACGAGGTGCTGAGCCTGTTCCGCGCGAATACGTTTTTCCGGAACTTCGAGATCCAGGGGCCTGCGGACCGGTTGCTGATTTATGGGATTCTGTGGGTGAGTGAGTGTTTGGGGAAGGTGAAGCCTAGTTATTCTGCAAGGTGCGTGGTATTTGATTTCGTTTCGTTAAATAAAGAAGACCTTTAGCCAGTTCGATTTAGGAATGAATTGGGAGAAAGTATGGGGTATGGGTTTGGTGCATGACAACTAATGCCTCGGGGGAAATTATAGGGAAGCACAGAAAGAAGTGCAGAACATTGCGCTTGATACAAATTTCTCGATTCCCGGCGAACCGGGATTTCCGCTGAATCAGATGTTTGCAGGGCCGGAGAATCGGCAGGAGGCTGAGACGCTGAGGCAGTATCTAGGGCAGGTTAGACAGGAGTTGGCGCAGAGGCTGTTGGCGAGGATGTATGAGGGGGGTGCGGAAAGGCCGAGTAAGTGGTGGTTGAGTTTCGCGAAGAGGCGGTTTATGGGAAAGCAGTTGTGAGGGGTGGAGGGCTTACTTTGCGGCTGTGGTGGTGGTGGGGCTTAGGACTGTGAATTGTGGACGGGGACTGATATGTAGGTGGATGGTTGGAGGTGGGATTAAGGAGTGGTATGAATACAGAAGAGAAGATATGTGGCGAAACAACGAGGTTCTGAGCTGCTACTGAATTACACTGGCACTGGCTCTAATTATCCAGAGATAGATGATACAAAAATCCTATAATCCCGCCATCTCTAAGTCTTCGCTTTTCACTTCCGTAGTATCCTGCGCCATTTCTGTATTAGATGTCTTCACCCCTTCCTCACCAACCATCTCTCCCTTCACAACCGCTCCCACCTTATCATCCCCCCTCTTCTTCCTCCCAAACTTCCCCCTAGCCTCCACTCTACCCTTCGCCGGGAGAACCCTAAACCCCGTGAAAAGATAGCCCTCCGCGCCCCCTTTCCCCGTCATCATAGGATGCGTGCGTCCCGGTAAAACCTGCCACTCCCTGATCCTAGCGCTTTGCACACTAGCATTGAGCACCAACGTCGGATTAAGCGGAAAGTCCTCATCGCCCTGCCATTCAACCCCCCTATCTTCGTCATCTAGCTCAGCGAAGGACGCTGGTGGTGCTTGGATGAATGCTGTGCGTCGGGATGTGGAGTACATGTCGGCGAGGGTGACGAGGGGTTCGATGGTGGGGGAGTAGATGGCTATACTTGCGCCGCCGCGGAGAAGGGGGAGCATGTGGCGGAGGATGGAGGAGGGGTCCATTGAGGATGCTACTGCAAGGCCGTCGAAGCCGCCGTTTAGTGTTGAGTTGACTATATGGGTGGTTCTTGTCCAGCGGCGGAGTTTGCGGTAGTAGGTTCCGCGTTTGGCGGATTTCATCTGGGAGAGTTCTTCGGGGGAAAGTGTCTCGATTTGGCTGCTGTATGTGGTGTCTTCAGATGGTTTGAGGAGTTGGAGCCAAGAGAGGGCGTGGAGGTGGTTGTTTAAGGGATGGGTGGGACAAGGCGGGGAGGTTGTGGTTGGGTCGTAGAGGAAGTATTTTAGGAGACTGAGGTTGGGTTGTGCGTTGTTGTGGACGAGCGTTATGGTGTTTGATGTTGCGGGCGGGGCTTCTTCTCTGTGGGGTCCTTCTGGTTTACCTTCCCAGTTGAAATCTGAGCTTGGGTGTAATATGCCCATTCGTTCGGCCATGGCTGCTACTAATAAACCACCTGTCTCGTCTACGACTAGCCATCGTCCGCCTTCTGTGTCTGGGAGAGATTCTGAGAAATGCACATTCGACCAACTTCCAATCAAGGATACCGCCTCGTTCCTCATTTCCAAGATTTTGTTCGCATCCTTCTCCGTCATCATCCAGTGCGTTAATAAGGGTACATCCAGTGGCAAGACAGTAAACCGTTTTAAATACTTCTTTGTTTTGAGCAACTTGTACTTTGCCAGCGAAAATGTAGTCTTCTGGTCAATGCCTGTATGCGATAACATGAGTTTCGCTATCAAGTCTTTTCCTGCACCTGTTCCTTCTCGTTTTAGGACTTCGATCTCTTCCATGGTAAGAGTCTGCCGCGCTGAATCATCGATTGTTTCACGGTTGGATCGTATAATGACTTCTCCATTCTCGGCAAGGAGCTCGAACTCAACTCCATCTCCACCTATCACGACTTTGTCTTCCGCCTCTTTGGGATTTGAGGCGGCATCTTCTTCGGCGATGGTGTCGGCGTGTATTTCTGAGGCGGGGACAATTCGCAGATCTGAGTCCTTCTGCCCCGCCCGACGGTCTAGCAGTTCGTACGTAAGATTATATGGTCGCTCGATAATGAGATTACTTGAGAATGTGCCATATTTGCCTAACGATACAATGCTACGGGATATTTAGCAATGCGACACACACGAGACGAGGAGAGAAGTAAGAAGCTGCTCACTCAGGCTCTAGTCACTCACGTATTCGGCACTATTTGAAGGAGTTTGAAAGAGTCGGAGGGAAGTCGAAGGACCACCCAAGCGTTTGGTGTAACCAGCGAATGCATTGTGTAAGGGAAAAAGGATTTGTCTATCGAGTCATGCTTTTGGTGCAGCAGGTGGGAGCGACAGCCTTGTGTAAAGATGGAAGTATTTTTCTCCACATTCCAGAATTTCTCAGCCTTCCGCTGATGGTACGTCTCGGTCGCCGTAGCTACTAATGCAATCGTTGGATGTGGCTGGGTACAGAAAGAGGCAAAGGGAGAGAAAGACGCGTAAGTCGATAACGTGGTCTCCAGATTTATACAGATACAGGTAACATGAAATAGCAGAGGATTTATCAGTCAACTCCTTCAGTGTTAGTGTTTTACGGCCCCAATGTATAATGTACTAGGCGGCGTGGGACATTATCAACTATAGTGAGAGGGCCGAGGGCCCTTTGTCTATCTAGCATGAGAGCGGAGCATTAGGTGCTTTTGTGGAGAAAGCCGTAAAAAACTGTAGGAGTTAATGGACGTATTAATTATAAGCTTTTATACCCAAAATTGGAAAGATTACATAGTTATAGTACTTCGTACCTAGGCCTAGGTATGTATCTGGCCACACGGTTATCGATACGAATACCACCAAGATGCGCTAGTATCAATGTACAGGGCAAGCAAGCCGGCCTACAGTAAGAAGCTTGTTTCCTTTGCTGCCTACCAGCTCCGCCTTCTTCTTTCAATCTTCAGTTCAAACCACAGTTTCCCTATATTCAATCCATTCCGAAGACTCATTGTGTGGAGCATCAACTTTGATTTACAATACCATGTGGACAACCTTCAACCAGCGACATCAGAGAATATAACCCACTCGGACTTTGTAACCCTTAATCGGCTTGGAGAGGAATCCTAGTCAACAGGGACAAAAAGCCGGTGGATTTCATGCAACACCTTCAAGTCTAGATAGTCTCCGGCTGAATTTAGTCAAAATGGTTACTCGAAAGCCAGTTCCTCAAAGAGACCAAACTCTGGCACCCACCACTGCTGCCCCACCATATCCCGTTACCCCAATCTCTACAAATGCCCCGAACGCATTCTCAATGCAAGACGCACGAGCCGAGCTTCGATCAGCTACAGATTCAGATGCCGGGAGTTCGAATGTCTGGAGCGAGGAAAGACATGATATGCAGCCAGCTGCTGAGAATACACATGATGCCGACAAGCCGCTTCCCGAAGCTTTGAGAGTTGGACCGCCTTCTACTCTGCAGAATAGTTCTCACGAATCTTTAAGACCGAGTACGGAAGGTACAAATCCATTTTTGCGGCGACAGGCAACGGGTTCAACAATAAATAGTGGAAAGGAGAGCAGTGCAGATGCTTGGGGTGAGAAACCCGCGGAGCCATCTAATCCTCCTCCACCGCCACCGCCTATTGATCATGGTATGTTAAGCACCTACCCACTTTAGAAAGCAAATCTAACATTCAGAGAAAATGTTCCTTCGCAAAAATTCTCGAACCTTTCAGTATCCGAACCATCATCGAATCCTTGGCAACCAGCCCTCGACCAGCAGAGCCGGACACACCCACCTCCTATACCACAATTGCAAAGAGAAGACTCGGGAAATGCAGCATGGTCTAGCTCCCAACGGCCCAGCCAAGCCCCCCAAATTCCTCCACTTGAGACGTTGCAACATGCAGATCTAATAAACTTGGATGAACCAGAATCCCCCGCTTGGGACGAAGAGGGATTTGATGACGAGTCTTCCCCGGTGCATGGAAAGCCGGCTCCCAGTGGACATGATGGGCAACCAATTGGAGATAGCCGAAACGTATGGGGTGAAATTTCAGGGGGGAAGGGCAAAGAGCCTGTTGCCAGTAACAGCCAATTCATAAGCGCCGGTGATCAAGGACAGTCTGGTGAAGGATGGGATTTTATTGATCATGATAATGCTGCATCCGGTGCCCAACAAAGCGGCATTGTGACAGCAGATGGAACAGAAACTCATGTCTCGGAGCTAGAAGCGCCGACTCTTCCTCCAAGGATATCACAAGAGCAACCACCAGCCCAGCCTCCACGCCCTATAATTACTACACAAAGCCCAAGTTCAAGCTCGGCCCTTGACCCAGGAACACCTGGTTCTGCTGTTCGAACGCAGAAAAGGGAGACTTACGAAATTAAGAAGATCACATGGCATGATGTTACCGCTGAAAAAAATCCAAGAGTTTCCCCCATCTTGGTACAGAATGCCAATGGTCCTTGCCCTCTTCTGGCCCTTGTCAATGCTCTATCTTTATCGACACCTGCCAACGTTGAAACGGCTTTGGTAGAAGCTCTGAGATCACGAGAGCAAGTCAGTTTGGGGTTGCTTCTTGATGTAGTATTTGACGAGCTCATGTCTGGGCGCCGTGGTGATGCCGCACAAGAGCTTCCTGATGTGAGCGATTTGTACAAATTCCTGCTTACCCTTCATACCGGTATGAATGTCAATCCTCGATTCCTCCCAGCCGCAGCTTCGCAATCGCCAAATGACCCTAGAAAATCCATGTCACATGTTCATCCAAGTGAACGAGAAGTATCGATCCCCGGTACTTTTGAGGATACTCGAGAAATGAAACTTTATAGCACCTTCTCGATTCCTCTGATACACGGCTGGCTACCAAAACAAGATTCCCCAGCACACATTGCCCTTTCAAGATCTGCAAAGTCTTATGAGGATGCTCAAAACCTCATGTTCCGAGAAGAGGAACTTGAAGATAAGATGGACAGAGAAGGTTTGAGTTTTGAAGAACAAGCAACCCTCGAGGATATTGCCACAATCAAAGCGTTCTTCTCGAGCAATGCAACACAGCTCACCCCTTCTGGTCTAGAAATCATCACGGCATCCTTAGCCCCAGGAGCAGTAGCAATTCTTTTTCGAAACGATCATTTCTCGACACTCTACCGACATCCAGATACCCTACAGCTGCTTCAGCTTGTAACTGACATGGGTTATGCAACCCACGAAGAAGTTGTTTGGGAATCACTAATCGATGTTACTGGAGAGAATGCCGAATTCTTCTCAGGAGACTTTAGACTCGTCGGAGGTGCGCCTGCCACACCTTCACAGTCCAATACTCATGAATCTGGTTCTGGCTGGACTACAGTTGCAGATCGCCAGAAAGGCTCTGAGCAAATCCCGAATCATCCACAACACCTAAGCACACCTAGTAGCTCGTCAAATCATTATGAGCCTGCACCACCTCAAAGCCCAAATACTGAACAAGAAGATCACGATCTAGCACTTGCTCTTCAACTTCAAGAAGAAGAAGAAGAGCGCCACCGCAATGAAGTCGCTCAAAGACGTCAAGCCGCAGAGCGTGACGCACGGCTTTCTCAACAGTACATTGAACAACAAGGGGTACAAAATAACAATGTACCCGTCCATACCCGCGGCGGGCGTGGAGGTCCAAACGGTGCCAGCATTCGCGGCGGAGCCAGGGGCGGGTTACGAAACACATCCACAGAGAACCGCCCCGCAATTCCACCCCGCCGTACCGGTACAGCACCGGCGCCGCCAGCCGACCCAGAAGCAGGAGTCGATGCACCGCCGCCTAGCTACGAACACGCTTCCCATCAAGCAGCTTACGTCCCGCCAGATTACCACCCCAGTCATCCCAATCAGCCTCCTAGGCGAACGAGCGCGTATTCTGCTACGAACCAGGGTATGCAGGGGAGTCCAGGTCCAGTAGGACAGAGGAGGCCGACGGCGGGTGGACCGGTTCTAGGGCGGAGAGGAACGGCGGGGAGTTCGTCGGGGCAGGAAGCCCCGGCAGGGAAGGAGAGAGATTGTGTTGTTATGTGAGTAGTTATAAATGATTGAATGAATGAATGAGCGAATGAGCGAGCGAGCGGCACTTTGAACTTGAATAGGCGGTTGGGTGGGACTGAGCCGGGCTAGGTGTTGGCAATAATGACGCAGGTTTGGTTGTATTTATAAACGAACGGCGATTAGGTGGGAAGCTATATACAATCCATGATTTTAGCCACGGCAATCCATGTTTATGACGGCTTATTAATTAGGTTACGTTAGTCAAATATACTACGGCCAAATATCAAAACGCAATTGATTTTAGCCTGGACGAGGTGGGGGGGTTTGGTGATCTGGACTTCTTGCATTTTTTCTTTCAGAGCGAGGTATGTATAGATATTGGGGAGCAGGAGAAAATGTTGCAACAAAGCTGAATTAGGTATTGTGTTCTTTTCGTGGCTGGTATAAAGTAGTATTAGGATCAGTATCAAATATCTCGTGCAATTAATCAGCAAGATAATCCTCCGCCTCGACGCCTACACTCCTCGCCACGCCCCTCACTACTTCCCAGCCAACAGCAACTCTATACCTGCACGCGCCATCCATGGTATCGCCCGCGTTCTGCGCGCCCATCTTGACAAGCAAGCGCAGACTCGCGAGCGTGGCGATGGCCATCTGTATATCCGCACTGCCATTCTGCCTCTCCCTCTTTCTGTCATTTCCAAGTCCATGTCTTCCTCTTGAGTCTGCATCGTCTTTTATACAGTGGAAGATGGCTAGCATGCGTTCGAGCACGAAGGCTTGGGGGCCGAGGAGTTTGCGGGAGATGGTGCGGCGTTTCGTGGTGGAGGAGCGGGAGAGCGCGGTTCCGCCGCCCTTTTTGCGGCGTTTTGAAGACGCGGATTTCATGAAGTGGACGGTGTCGAAGCGGGACGGGTTGAAGGATGCGAGGTAGGAGGCTACGAGGAGGAGGCGGGAGTAGTAGGGGAGCTGGGCTGCTATGCCTTGGTATTTGCCCTTACTCTCATTGCCTGGCTGTACTAGAGCTCCAGATTTGGCGAATGGTGGTTCCGATATAATTCCTGGGATGAGGACTGATTCATTTTGGAATAGGGAGCGGTTTGCTACGAGGAGACGACCGAATGGGGTAGCGGATAGCTGGCCGTCGAGGATGGGCTTTATAAAGCGGGGCCAGAGACGCAGACTAATGGAGCGGCAGGAGAGGATGTCGCGGCCTGAGTGCTTGGATAAGGAGTCGTAGACTGCGGAGGTGAAGCGGGACCAGGTTTCTTGTGTTTCTTTTGCGCCGCTTGGGAGTTGGGGGGTTGGGGAAGTAGATGAGAGGATTTGGAGTAGTTCAGGCTTGGTGTAAGAGGGGAAGTGGATGTGTGGGACACCAGGGAGGTGGAGGAAGTTGGGTCGAGGGGCTGTGACGATGTAGAGGGTTGTGAGTTTTGGTATCTGGGTTATTGCGGTTAGAATTTATTGTCAATATACCTGGCTTGGGGAGGGACTTACGATTTCTCCTAGTCTTGCTAAACCCGGGAGCAGAGTCGGCGGAGCCTCCCTTTGGTGATCTATACCATCAAAAACCAGGACTATTCTATAATTTGTGGCCCCTTTATCTGAAATTCTCCGGCCCTCCAACATCCGACCCAGCTCAACAACCAACTGTGCAACATTTTCACATCGACCCACGTTGCCCTCCCAATTTACAGCTTTTGCTACTGTCCCCACAGTTTGCTCGAGCAAATGTCTTCCAGTTATACATTCTGCGCTCTTTATAACAGCATACCGTAATTGCTCGAGGGGCACATCAGAATCTCCGTTGACCAAGCTGTTGTCGGACTCGGTGGAGAGCCTTTGTAAAAGTGCTTTCGCAATGGCGCTTTTACCAGTAGCCTCAAGACCATACAGCACAATGTTCCTGCTCGGGGCTCCTCTTATCTAATTGGCAAAGTGTTAGTTCTGCCTCTCAAAGCTTGGTCCAGGACACGCCATGGAGATACTTACTGCGAGCAGAGTTGCCAGAGAGCGGATCTGCTGTTCCCGACAAGGAAATTGAGAAGCAAGGGAGGTCAACATAACCTCGCTCGGCAAGGAGAACATTGAGGCCATTATGAGAATATATGTCTCCTTTTGCTGGTCGAAGTTCTTGGAGTCGCGTCTTGCTTTTCGGGGAGACGTGACGGTAGCCGCGCGCTAAACATATACGATCTCTAAATATACTCGTACTCATAAACCCTGAACGATTACGTAATCTACATACACCACTCTTCATGTTGTGGAATGATTTTCTCGTAAAACTTCCTTCACTTGTGTATAGATATGGATATATGCCGTATTATAAAACGCATATCAGCAATAATTGAACATTTTCAAGGTCTTTACAAAGGCCTAGCATAGTCCGATAACCCTACGTATTCGCTAGATACATCGACAGCAGCACAGTACGAGGTGACATCTCTTGAAGCTTGAATGGCCTCAAATTATGTATTTGGTGGTATCTATGGCTCTAGCTGTAGCTAGAATCGGTCCAAATCTGTCCTAGTTCAGCCCGTATTATACTTCAGCTGAACATCGCCTACGCGTACATCCTCGCATCTTCAAAACAACTTTTCCCCGCATCAGCCATGACAGCTTTTGTTTCCAAAAGACCTCATAAGAAGTCAAGAGGGGGTTGCAAAACTTGCAAAACCAGAAAAGTCAAGGTACATCCGTTTGAATCATAGAACTCTCAGTCATTGACCATTCCAAGTGCGACGAAGCTCAACCGAAATGCAGCTTCTGCGAGAAGAGAGATCTCAAATGCGTATATATCTACAAATCTGCAGCATCGCTCTCTAATTCCGCATCAATCCCGTCGTTCTCCTCTGAAAATGATAGCCCTTTTTCTGCCTCTCCCGTTAGGGGTGAACAAACAGACATTGAGCTTGTCCCTCGATCATGGTCATTGAGCCCTGCTCCATCCTTCCAAAGCATGTCCACATCGAGCTTTATGTCACGCAACGATTTAAGACTGATGCATCACTGGTCAACCATCACTTGGAACACGATAAATGTCACTGACCAGGCTGATGGTGTCCTACTTCTGCATGCACCTCAACTCGGATTCGGCAATGAGTTCCTCTTGAATTGCATCCTTGGCATCTCTTCTTTCCACATGGAACACCTTATTCCAAATTGCCCCGAGATAAATCTGATCAAACAGCAGACTTCTCTCTATCGGGTCCGAGCCTTGAACAGCTTCCGTGAGAACCTGGGCAACCTCCATCTGTCATTAGAAAATTGGGAGGCGTCTTTGCTCACATCAATTTTGCTCGTCGTTCTATGCTCAAAGGACTATGTTAGCACGGACGGGGATCTCGCAGTCGTCAACTGGATCGTGCTTTACCGCGGACTTGCTTCAGTCATAATGATGCGGTCCTATGCAGATGTTCAAAAATTGAATGTCGCCCCTATTTTCAAACGAGAGTTAACGTCCCTGCGAACCGTACCTGTTGTCCCGCAAATTTTGATCGACATGGTTGAGAAAATCAACCCTCTGGACTCGGACTTTGAATATCTCGAATGGTATTGCAAAGCCATTGATGTTCTTGGTATTCTCTATGCCGGTCTCCGTCAGGATGGCCTCACTCCTCCTCTTTTCGTACGCATAATATCATGGCCATCCTTCCTATCTGAGGAATTTTCCCGCTGCGCGCAGGAAAAACGTCCGAGATCCCTTATTATATTGGCATACTATTTGGTATTTACGAAGTTGGTTAATGGCTTGTGGTGGCTCGATGGATCATCGAACGCTCAAATTAATGCCATAGTAAAGATGATCGGTCCGGAGTGGCTGGTGTATATGCGTCTTCCACTCGAAGCTACATACCTAAACAAACCCGAAGAAATTACCGGCCTCCTATTGAGGTGACGGGCAAACTAGGCCAGCCTATGGCATGGGGTACGACCTATTTTTGAAGGCGCTCTTCAAGTTCCTCGAGCTCAAACACATTCTACGAAACCGTGCACAGAGTCAGAATAGACACCAACTTCGACCCTTGAATAATGATGAGATTTACATTATTCCCACTCCTGGTATATCGGATCGAGACATTGTCAGCAAGCAACAACACATTGGCGTGCTGGGGGAGACGATGTATGCGTGCGAGAGCGCATGATCTCCCGAAATTTCTTCCCTGGAGGCCTGAAAATAGAGACGAGTTAGATGCTGAAATTGGTCACGTTCCTTCACGGCTGTTCTCTAGTCTATTAATTGCTCCTATACAGACTCATCAGGCTCGGGATCATCGTCGTTTCAGACATCTCTCAACGGTCTCACTTGGATACGATAGAGCTCAAAACTCGTTACTTGATTCTACCGGTACTCTAATGTTACGACCCAGAGGCATCGACGGTAAGCTAGCTACATGAAAGTATATCTCACCATCGTCCAACGTAGGACATGTTGAATACTTAGAAAATTCCCCACAGTTCCTCAATCCAAAACGGATGTACCGCGAGTTCTTATCAGTCAAGTACCCAAGCGTGAAGCCCACTCTTCTGACATAGCATCAGTAACATCTTTCATCGTCTTGGGGATGTTTAGTGGAGATCTTTCTATCGCTCTCAATTCGCCCGATACCAACTTCATCACCTGAAGTAGGATCTTGCATCCCAGTCGCTTTTCTTCTGCCTCGAACATCTCTTTAGCGTCACTCGGAGTGGATTCGCTATACCATGGTCCTTGCTGAACGCTCTTGAAGAACTCAGTCAAGTCGATGAATTGCCTCTGGAAGAAGTCGCCCATAATGAAACTGCCAAATAATACAATTAAGAGTGTCTTCTTGTCTTCATACGTCGGCACCACCACCCACTCCTGGTTCATATCCATGAATCGGGATGCGGCATCGGTGAAAAGCTTGTAATCCATTCCATGCCATACTTCAGTGTCGGGCTCGGCGGATGAAAGGATTTTGAGGGCAGCTGAATTGAATGAAGGGATATTTGCTTCTGTAAGGGAGGGGGAACATTAGCCTTGTTACTTTGCCAAAGCTCGTGGAACAGACCATCTGATTTGATAGTATTCAATCTAGAATGTTCAGGTCCTGTTGAAAATTCACTGGAGAACAGACCGTTGTTTCTCACACCAGCTGCGTTCAACCTGGATATCCCCATTCATCCGATCCTCAGCTCTTCCACCATCGGTTGTCGTGTATGCGGGAATGGCACTGCTCGTCATCTCTTGGATGCCAAGTTCCCCAAGTTTGGAGAGCGCATCATCAACTGAGTTGTCAGTTACAGTGCTAGGAATAGCAGCAGCCGGCCCTGGCCTTTGACGAGGCTCGATAGTGCTGCTTTCTGTGGTGGCAGGCGTGCCAGATATCTCGGCATAGTCTTGTGTTGACTCGGCTGCGCACTTCTGATTCACCTCCATAGTGCTATTGTCTTCTTCGCGGTCATTCATATTTGCTTTAGTTTGCGGTATCTCGGATTTGCTAGTGTTTGGGGTTCCAAAGTAGTAAAGCTTGATGTGGGAATGCAATTGATGTAGCGAAGGGCATGCATGGTGCAGGTCAGAATCAATTCACAACTTCCGAATATGTCGATTTGATTTCTGATTCATTCTTGCTTAAGAGTTAATTCACAAATTCTGGGCCTGTGAACTCGCTTTTTAATTCACTTGCTTAAAGTTCTTTCATAACTCCCAAGCCTGTCGATTTGATTTTTGATTCACTTGCTTTTAGCAACTCACTCGCTTACTCGCAGAGAAGGTGCAACTGGCGATTACGTAATGGGTTGTATTGTAAAAGCCATAAGTATTTCTTATGGCCTTTCACTTTATGGTCACACCTCCGTAACCCTGGCACCCTGCATGCATTGTGTTCTCTCGTCTTCAACCTCAGCTTCACGCAACTCAACTGATCAAGTTGAACAAGTGATTGTGCCAGACAGAGCTATCTCACCATGACCTTATCATCTGTCACCCGTGACCTCAAGTCGTCGCTGTCCTTTTCCTGGACCTCTTGTGCTATCACAGCTCTTGGGGCATGGATTCTGGGACTTGCCACGCTTGCAGTCTACCGTCTCTACCTCAGTCCTCTATCCAAATTCCCAGGCCCGAAATTGGCAGCTCTTTCAAAATGGTACGAAGCTTACTACGAACTTGTCCGTATTGGCAAATTCTCCCGCGAGATTGACAGAATGCACGACGTCTATGGTAAGAGCTTGAACTCCGTAGCATGTTCCAGTACTTCAATCGGACCATACTTTAATAGCTTATATATCTACTAGGTCCTATTGTCCGAGTAACACCCTACGAAGTTCACATCAAGGACAGCCAGTTCTACAATGGATTCTACGGGTATCGCGATATCGAAAAACACGGCTGGGATGTGAAGATAGGCAACGGAAACTCCATCTTGACCACAGTCCATAGCGATGTTCATCGTCGTCGTCGTGCAGCTCTGAATCCAATGTAAGTTTCGACTCTCCTTCATTAGCTCTCCTAGGCCCAGCCCAGACGTCGCTGACCTAAGTATGTCTCTAGGTTCTCAAGACGATCAGTCATGAATTTGGTACCGGTTATACACGAAAAACTCGAGCTCCTCTGCAAACAATTTGATGAATATGTAGAAAGTCACAAACCGGTTAATTTAACTAAGGCATTTCCTGCTCTGACGGGCGATATCATGATGGAGTACTTTTTCGGCTTTACATACAGTCATGTCGAGTCCCCTGGATTCTTGTCGTTCCATGAAGCATACCTGGGGTTTATATCATCTGGCCACATTGCAACACAATTTCCCTGGTTCCTTCCTGTAAGTATGGCTGAGCTTAACTGAGCTTCATGATGAGACTGCTAACAAACAATCAGCTCATGGACTCTATTCCCGACTCAATTGTCATGAGATTCTTCCCACTGCTATCAAGCCTGATTCGGTTAAAACAGGTAAACTATTGAACTCCATCCACCTCACTCTCTGCATCCTCAAGGAGTCAAAGCCTAACCCACACATCCTCAGGACCAATGGAATCTGGTAGGACGCTCTATCAAGGGCGAAACTACCAACGAAAGCTCTCGTCATACGATAATCGACCATATGCTCCAAAGCGACCTCCCGCCCTCGGACTTAACCCAAAAACGCATCACCGACGAAGCACAAGTCATAATGGCAGCCGGCGTTGAAACAAGCTCCATCTGCCTGGCCGTCGGCACATTCCACATCGTCAACACGCCCCACATCGCCACGCGTCTCCACAAGGAGCTCGTGCACGCCTTCCCACCCAACAATGCCAATCGCCGGTACATCCCCGAACTTCTCGAACTCGAGAAACTGCCCTATCTCAAAGCGTGTATCCAGGAAGCACTCAGGCTGTCGTACGGCATATCCTCGCGCAATCCGCGGGTTTACGCTGATAGGGAGCTGAGGTACAAGGAGTGGACTATCCCAGCTGGCACCCAGGTCGCGATGACCGCTGTTGATGTCTGTCATGATGAGGCTATCTTTCCGGATTCGCATTCCTTTATCCCTGAGCGATGGCTGGAAAATTCGAAGACGCACGATGGTGAGTCTCTTGAGCACTATCTGGTTACGTTTGGTCGTGGCCCCAGATCGTGTATTGGAATCAAGTAAGTTCAGTTCAGTCCAGTTCTTTCTTTCATCCATTCTTTTCTATCCATCTACCTTGATCCATATCTGCAACGTCTGGGAGAAACAGATGACTGATTCTTCTGGGTAATAGCGTTGCTTTGAGTGAGATCACCATGACACTGGGCACCATGTTCCGTTGGTACAAACTCGACTTGTACGAATCGGACATCACGGATGTTCGATACGAGCATGACTGGCATTTGCCCGTCCCTCGATTGGACAGCCTAGGCCTCCGACTCACTATGACCAAAGTTGACAATTGACAATTAGTTCATTGATGTTTGCGAAGCGCGATGCGGAAGAATGAGATATGGTACTGTGGTGTGGTGGGGAGACGTCGCTGTCGCTTTTCGCTTTTGTCTTGACGTAGGATCACATACATGAATTGCTAGACCTGTATTATGAGATCTTCGAGTTCTGAATTAGCTCAGCAAGGCACGGAATACTACACCTTCTTTTCGCGACCACCTTCTTACTGTGACGCCTTGTTTGTTTGTTGTTTGTGGTTTGTTTATGCCAGCTTCGTGCCATAGGGACGCACATCCACTCCTATTTAGCCCCTCGATAGTACCATACTCCATACTCTCTTGACTTGTTTCAGTATTACTTTGTTCAATACTACATCATCTCAGTAACATGATACTCCACCTCTATGAACTAACTCATGTCAATTATGCACTATACCCGTAGTTTTCACAAAAACTTCAACTTCCACTCCGACGTCTACACGCCCTCCTTAATGAAACTCTTCATCACAACTTAATGTTCCCTCTAGCTTCTCGTCGGGTAGGTTTGAGAATACGGGTAGGCCAGCTGCTGTTAAAGAATTGGTTCGATATAGCTTTCCAATATTGTAAGCTTTGAGTGCTGGTTGTAAAAGTTACTTACATACCCAGGTAGGATAGTAGCCGGTAGCCCCTATTTGCTAGCCGAGGGTGCTTATCGCTGGAAGTTTAGTGACGGAAGGCTAAATCTAGCCTGAAATTATAGTGGATACTCCCTGGAAATTAGTGGGTGGAGTAATATGAAGCCTGTGATTATGTCAGCCTTGCAACGCCACCGACATCAACTTCAGCCTTGTCTTGCATTACCCTCGTCAACACCACAAGAATCACCACCCACCATGTCTTTTCTCGAGGGCTTGCTCAATAAAGGCAAGGCCAAGCTCAAGGAGTTGAGTGATAGCCATCCACCTTCACAATCATATCCCGGGAATCAATCACACCAAGGCTACAATCAACCACCTCAAGGTTACAACCAGCAGCCTCAATATTACGCTCCCCAATCCCAATATCAGAACTACCCACCACAGCAACAATTCAGCCCACCACCGCCAGAATACAACAACCTCCCTCCTCCTCCAATACCGAGTTCCACCAGGCCCGGCAGTACAAGTACACCGCCAATTCCCTCCTCCACACGTCCCACACCCACCCCGTCTCAAAGTGCCCCCTACTGGCAACCGACCTTCAACCCCTCCATCCCCATCTCTCAGCTCTTCCAACAAGAAACAGGCGCCCACGGCTGGGGCAACAACGAAGTGCAAAACTACACCGCCGATGCGCACAACTGCTTCTTCACCCCCAATAACCAGCTCGTCCTCCGCGGCATCGTCAGCTCCAACAAACACACCTCCGCGCGCCTCGTCTCGCACCAAAAGCTCGGCCGACAACGAGGCTGCTTAAGCGCTACCCTGAAAGCGCCCTGCGCAGCCGGCATCTGGCCCGCGTTCTGGCTGCTGCCCGCGGCGCCTTTCGCGTGGCCGAATGATGGCGAGATCGACATCTTCGAGAGCTGGAATGGGGATTGCGTGAACCATTCTTGTCTGCACTGGGGGCATTACAACGGAGAGGATTGGAATAAGCACCGCGTGTGGGAGACGCCGATCTTCGATATGCCGCATCGCGAGGTGCGCGTAGCGTTGGCCTGGGCGCAGGATGAGGATCGGGATGGTGCCGGGGGGAAGCTGGTGTGGTATTTGGATGGGATGGCTGTGATGAAGGCGCCGATTTCCGAGGGCATGAGGCGCTTGAGCGATTGGAAGGTTATTATTAATGTGGCGATGGGTGGGAATGTTTGTGGGGGGCGGTTACCGGTAGATGGGACTTATGATTTTGTGGTGAGGGACTTGGCGTTTTACGACGCTCCGGTAGGAGGGTGGGATGGGTTTGAGAGGGATTTCTTGAATACCAGGGAGGGAAAGACTATGTGAAGATCAATCTAAGTGAAATGTTCGAATCCAGCCATACCCTTCTAACATACAAGCGTATTAAACCAGTGGAGCGGGAAGGAAAGAAGAAATTTGCTTGGAGAGCCATTTTATAGCAAACGAGGAAGTACAGTAGCAGCTTCATTGGTCTCTGGCCAGTTTTGAGGAACTATTCATACATTCATACACTCATACGTCTAATCTAATCTAAACCGTCTCGCCTGCTTGCTTGCTTATTCGCTATTTTTAGGTATCATGCACGCGATCGATTCGAATTTTAGAAAGAAAAAGGAAAGGAAAAGAAGAAAATTCCCGTTCCGAGAACCAGACGCCCGAGCTAATAATTTGTAGTTATCGTACTTAGACATGCGGCATTCCCTGCGTGGCTGAAAGTCCGCTGGTTGAACGATATGCAATGTCCAATATGTAAGGTAGGCAAAGCAAACTCAAAACGCAGCACCACCAACTCCTTCCCCAGCCAACATCCTAACATGCCTCTCACTTAACTCACTCCTCAAGCCCATAGCCGCACTCTCGCGCTCCAACCTCTCCCAACTCTTCAGATCCTGCCTCAGCTTCTCCTCTTTGGTATTCAGCTCTTTTCGCAGCACGGCTTCTTCTTCTTGGCGCTTCTTGAGACGCGCGGCTACTTCGGGTGTAATTCCGGTGGCGGTGGGGTCGAGACGGCCACCGGGGATGATGGGTGGGATGTTGGCCATGGCTGGATGGGGGCGTGGGCCAGGTGGAGGGGCGTTGGGATTAGGGTTGGATTGTTTGTTGTAGATGCTGGAGGAGTGAGAGAGGGAGGGGCGAGAGGGAACGCCGGCTCGGGGACCGGTGGGAATTCCCCCTGATGATGGGCCGGTGGGGATGGTAGACACTGATGCTGATGTTGGTATCGATGTAGTAGCGGGACCGGATGGGATCGATGGAGAAGGGGTTTGTGTGGGGCGACTGGCAGGTGTGCTGATGCGGGTGGAGTTCTCTGCCGGAGTGGTACGGGGTGCTGGTGCTGGTGCGGCGCCCCAAGACCCGGATTCTGAACGATGGGGTCGATCACTGTTAAATGAACCTCTGCCTCCTCGCATGAATCCTCCACTACCACGATTGGGGGGGACGAAACCACGGGGTCCGGAAGGGGGGATAATAGGACCGGAGTTATCAGATCTGTTGTGGGTAGACATGGAGCTTGGTGATGGAGAAGGCGCAGTGAAGTTTCGGCTACTACTTGGTCCAGTTGGAGCTCTGAAGCCCGCGGGTCCTCGTGGGGGCGATCTTGGCGCCGTAGGGCGTATAGGGGAGCGTTCTCTAGGAGTAGATCTTGCCGAATCTCTTACAGACTCCCTGTCTCTGTAACTAAGCTGCATTGTAGGAGACCTGGCACGTGGTGGTGAGCGAGCTCTAGATTCACGATTCGATGTTTGCGAAACGATTGCCATTCGGTCTGGATGAACATGTGGTGAGGACCGGCGAGAAGTGCTTGTAGAGGTTCTAGCAGACCGGTCTAGTGGAGGTGACGGGGAATGGCGTCTCCAGTTTGATGAGCTTGGGCCTGAAGCTATACGATTATCACGACGATCCGGGCTTCGAGAACGAGGGCGGTAACCACCACGGGGGCCTGCGGGTGGTGATCTTCGAGCAGGGAGAGGTGACCTGGCACGAGGTGGGGCACGATCTCTATCGTAAGGGGATCTTGATCTTCTTCTATACACTTGTTAGCCAACCTCATGTGCTAGGCTCCAGGTTTGAATAAACCTTTCGTCTCTTCTTGGAGGTGATCTTGCTCGACGATCATCATCTCTTCTAGGAGAGAATCTTCGTGGACTTCTCGCACGAGGTGGGGATCTTGCTCTTGATCTCCAATTATCTCGTAGTGGTGAACGATCACGACGAGGTTGTGGAGTTCTGGATCTGCGTCGTGGAGAGCGGTCACGAGAATTTGGGTGCCAAGAGTCACTTGTAGGAGGGGGGGATCTTGGCCTATCACGGTTTGTTCGATACGTATCAGCTCTAGGAGGTGAGCGTGGTCTGGAGGGTGACAAGGGACGAGCAGTAGGCCTGTAAGACTCTCCACGGCCCAGAGCGGTCACTTCTCCTTCTCCTCTAGAACAAGATAATTTATTAGCATTACTCCTATGAATGACTAGTGAACTACAACTGGGTGAGGTGCAAGATGCTACTCTAATGAATAGCAAGCAGCAGAGCGATACATTGAGAAAGACTATGAGTAAATAAGTCCAGAGTGCACGGAAGGCCACAATGTTTTAGGGGACATAGATCATACAGCCAAAACCTTCCAGTAGTATTGGCAGAGTGCTTTGTTGAAAGAGTCCGCCTATTCAATGATGAATGATAGGTTCGCCAGCCTTGTAGAAATCTGATAAAACAAGTATCTCAGGAGTATACTTCATTCCCAATGTCCCTAAGTGTCTGGTTGGACCTGATCCGAGCCAACCCTGGGTCACACAGGGCTCAGGCAACATCCTATGGTATAGATATGGTCGTGGTGGCTGTGGCGGCTTTCTTGGAATCATGTAGCGAACAAACATCGGCCTTGTTTGTGCAGGCAATTGTTGAATACATAGTTCATCTCCGACGAATACGGGGTAGGCTGGTAGAAACAAACGAGGAGAAGATCGTTCACGACCAAGTATCGTAGTCAGAGGCGGCAGAGAGTGACCTTCCTTTGTACTAGCGTTCGTGAGAAAATCTGGTTGTAACGGAATTCCCATAATGAACTGCCAAAGGGGGGGCGCTTCCTGGACGACCTCCGTAGGAGAACGGGAACCAGGATAGTGCGAGTTGAACAGCGGCAGATACATCCACAGATCCGGCGATGCAGCTAGAAAGTTCAACAAGCGTATTTGTATAGGCTGGAGCTTTTCTTGTTCGCCCCAGTCATTTAGAGGCGATCTGATGAAGAGTTTGCTCCAAGAGCCTTTGTCCATGGCCTGTATTGGACAAGGTAAGTCGAAGCTGCTCAGACTGCGCAGCCTCATGTCGACAGAGTGAGCTCTGGAAACCTTTACAGTACCAGAGCTTATGGATCCTCTAGAATACGAATTTCGGCCGTGTGCTTGCTGCTCTTCGGGTAAGCCTCGACCAGCTCCATGCTCCGTAGCCGCATTGCTTCTGCCTTCTCCGCTCTCTACGATTGTGTCCAAAAAAAGAGCCGATAAGGACTTGGGTGTTGAAGACTCTTCCTTAATATCGGTTCCAACATCGGTTGTTGGACGTTCAACTGGAAGACATATTGGATCGATGTCCATCCCCTCAGTATACCCATGCGTCGCTCCACCTCTCTGGGAATCGATATCCATTTTCTCGGTGTGTCCATGTGTCACTTCACCTCCCTGGTGATTGATGTCCATTTTCTCGATGTACGGAGCTGTGATTCGACTCATTCCGGTAGGTAGTGGTGGTGGACTTGGGGTTTCCAATCCACCATGGCAGCGAGATATCTGACAACATCCCTCTGCATTTAGACCAGCCCAGTTCTCGTTCTCATTTCCTCCTGTGGTGCTCTGCTTGGATTCGTACGGTGCTGGGGGTCCAGGTGGCGGGTTCAAGGGTCCAGGTGGTCCAGGAGCAGGATCAGGGAATGTGTTCTTTCCAGCCATGTCCTTCCCTTCTCCAAGCTCGAATGCAAATACGTATGTTCGGTGCAATGCAATGCTCTGGTGTACGTGGTACGATGCGGTGAAAGTGAATGAAAAGAGAAGAGTACTAACCTGCGTTCCACACGACGGTCCATCTTGGAGGATATTGATGCACTTTCCTGTCCTATGCAGTTTCTTTGAGGTGGTCGCAGTTGCTGAAAGGAAAAGAGGAAGAGTGTTGCTGAAGATGTTTCTATTTTTCTGGAGAATAACTTTTGGCAGTCGCGAGTGACGCGCAGTAAGGCGGGCGCTAGCGGGCTCACGAGAATCACGTGCTAGCTCCCCTTTTCTTTCTTTGGTGCTCGAGGGATCATCCCTTGATTGCACCTTTCCTGCTTCTGGGCTTCTGATCCTCCGTAAAGTATCCCTATCACATGGTGTACAAGACGGGACAAGTAATATTAGCAAAGAGGGCAAAGCCGGTCGATTTTGATATATTACACTCCAATGAATACAATGATGCCTCTTTTGAAGTCCATCCCAACGCCTACAATGTACCCACATCCCAATCTTCAGAATCTATACGACCTCTCTCTCTTCTCGCCCTTCTTCTCCTCGTCCCTCTTCTGTCGTTTTCTACTCTCCTGGGCAATCATATCACTCAAATCCTCTTCGAAAGCCCAGGCCCCCTTCTCCTCTTTCTTCTGAGCCTCAAATCTGCGCTTGACCTCGTCCTTGCTGATACCGTCCTCATTTTGCAAAGAATCTGGGTCCAATGCAACATCCACATCTCCGGGCTTCTTTCTCTTCCTATTCTCGTCGTCTTGACCCAAGACAGGCAGATTAGAATTCTGTGCACTACGCACGTCATAAGCACGCTCTCCACCAAAGAAACCCTCGGCACGGATTTGCTTTTCTGGAATCACTTGGTATGCTGATCTTGGGTGCGTCGATTCCTCAGTCTCGGTGCCTCTCTTCTGTTTTCGAAGATCAAAGTCGCCGCCGACGCTCATATCGCCAGGATATTCGGAGGGTACCGTAGATGCCATTCCACCTGGTGTCTCCAACCCGCTAGGGGTCTGTAACCCTGCTCCAATATCTTCCTCGTCGCCCTCTTCTTCTTCATCCTCACTCTCCTCTTCGTCAGACTCCTCTTCTGGAGCTTGCAATTCACCCCACAGACTCCGTTCGACTGGCTCGCCAGCCTGGCTATTAACCTGAGGTTGCAGAACACCGAAAATGTCTCCGCCATAGAGAGGTCGATTAAACTCGTCGACAGGAGGTTTTCCATATCCACCGGGATGGAAACCCCAAGCACCACCTGGAGGTGGAGGAGCATTTAAGCCAGGGATCTTGAGAGATGGGTAGGACGGAGGTGGGCCGAATCTCTGCTGATTGATCAACCATGGCGGTGGCGCTCCTGGAGGAATGTTAAGAGCTTCCTTCAACTCATCACTCAACTCTCCAGGTCTCAGATGCTTCAAGTTCGTTTCGTACTCCTTGCCCTCGTAGTAGACCTCGCCGAATCTCGTAAGCTCAGGTTTTGTTTGAAATCTGAAAAAAGCCTCGTAAAGCTTCTGATAATCGATATCCAGTTTTCCCATCTTCGGTTGAACTCTCTCTCTTTGTTTCTGCTTCAGACTTGCTTGATCCTGCTTCTCCAACACCGCGTCTCGCATCTCTGCGATGCCAGTCTCTTGAATGAATTTTGGAAGGGCAAAAGGCGGCTTCTCAACACCACGCTTCGAGGATAGGTATTCGCGCTTCAGGGACCAATGATTTGGTACAGGGACAACATTTCGGTACGACTTGATGTGAACTAATAACCGTGGATCTGAAGCAGATGTGTCCGTCCAATCGACCAGCTCAGGCTTCTTCACGAGCGCCTTCAATTCTGCAACCGACAACTTGTCGCGCTCCTTTCTCTTCTTCTTGGAGAGCTTCAGCTCCTTAGCTGCCTCTTCATCTTCGTCGGGTATCTCGTCATCGTCGTCGTAAAAGACCTCGCCCTTATCCCCAGCGTTTGCTTCCTTCGTAGCCTCGTCCTCCTCGGTCGTCGCATTAAACCGCTCCATGATCTCCTTATACATCGCATAGTTGGGATCATCTTCGCTAATGTCCAGTGTCGAGATATCTTGGGTTGGTGGTTCGGCTTCGTTTTGCGCGGATGCGGGCTCTGGAGATTGTTGTTTCTCTAATCCTGGAGTCGGCGTAGGCTGCGCAACCTTCTGCTCCTTCTTCTTTGCGCGCCGCATCTGGTTTTTGGTCATCTTGGGCGCCATCTTGAATACACAGTCGGAGAATATCCCAGATATTTGTGACGATGATTATCCGCGGCGGGAATTCGAAGCTGTAAACTTTTGGTTGGTTAGCGCGGCGCGATATTGGAATTGGATGGTGTCATGTGATCTGATGACTCGGCCTCAGCATCATCCCCGGTAACCTCCCTCCTCCTGCCTTTATATCTCCTTCCTTCATCACATAAATTATTGCGGCCTTTAATCCTCTTCTCATGTTTCTGGATATAACCTCATGGTGGTAAAGAAGTCATCTCACAATTGTCTTGCCCAAACGGTAGCCTCAAGTGAGCTAAAAGATCCAACTGGCTAGTTCTGCGCTAGAACCAGACTCTTGGTATGGGGACCATTGCAATTTTTTCTCATTTCATGTATATTCGCACCATCTTTTACGTTTCAACCCATATTATCTTCTCTCTTTTCATGTTAATCTCAGCTTTTATTTTGCTTGGCGCTTTGGTGTTGCAGACATGTAGTAAAACGGTGGGTTTTCATAACACAACAAGAAATGCCCCACCACTAAGGCATGAGTTCATCCAGGTAGTGGAGCTAAGATTTCTCCATAAGTCAGACCCAATACCTTAGAGGTGGAACTTGACATGAAATGCCTGGCCCGATCTGTTAGACATTGAGATGAGATGAGATGAGATAAGTCGCAGCCATTGGGGTTCGTGGCATCTGCGCGGTGTGACGAGAGATCCATATCCCCGGCTGCACGACCACGTATCTAATAAATCCAGCCCTTCATGAATGCGCATTCAGTCACACTTAGGTGAATCATCCTGTAACCGTAAATTTCAGAGACCAAACAGGAATGTATAAACTTAAACTTCATTTCGTTCTGCGTTTCTTGGCCAATCATCCTTGGGCACTTTCTTAGTAATGACATCTTACTGTATTTGGACGGGGCGGTTGGAAGAATACAATATTCCCTGTCATCAGTCAGCCAAGTTTATAGAATCATTCTGCTGAGCAAGACAATCACCAAAACTTTTGCATGGGATGAAGTGTTCCCCTAGATTACTCCCACCAGTTAGATTCGGGGGCGGGGGGTTCGATATCTCTGCCAATTCTTTATATTGATTCTTAGGCCAACTAGAAGAGGTTGTCTCAAGCAGAACTTCCTCTTGGCATAATATCCATATGCTCAAATGAAGTTTTGCTACTTTTGGAAAATATTGGGAAAGATTCACGAGCTGAAAGACATTTCAAGCGAGGCGAGTGTGCGACTCACGCCATGGGCTGTTAAGGATTTTTGAACGTCTCATAAGGCTGATAACTAACTGCCTAATTGAACGCGGTACGTCAACTATTTGTTCATTCTACCCCTCAATCGTAACTGCCTCCTTGGGCTTTCCACGTAGCTCTCTCAGATGATGCAGCCCTCTTCGAGCATATCACCACCGATAGTGTCCCTCGAACTACTCTAAAATCAAAATAACCCAATACCGTACCTGGTTCCAGCTCTAGAAAAATCTCTCTGCATGTGGCAGCGGATACCATCACCACACAGCCAAATCTCATAACCCAAGCTGTACACACGAAACTCGAGGCATGTTACGATCCTCTTTCATAGGAATTTCTACAACCTTCAATTTACTTGACAATCCTTCACTGTACAGCCTCCACTAGCACAGCATATTCTTTGAATATCTAGAACCTAGGATCTAGTAATGGCTGTGAGTCCAAATGGTACACATGTATATAAGGAACTCCTATCATCCATCTGGATCCATTAGGTATCTTACTCTAGGGCCATAAGCTCCTAGGTAAGCCTCGAGAATCTTGAGCAGCGCGCATGTACGGCACGGGCCGTACCTTTAGATCCGCAGGACGCAGGGCTATGATTTTATCCTAGTCCTGTCTATGAGTCTATTCCTGGACATTAGGCATGTTCCTGAGAATCAACTTGTATCAGAAGTTCCATTGAATCTCTCGAAGAAGTGCCTACATTAAAGTCTTAAAAGATCTGGAGGTAAATTGTCTACACAGTATTCGAAAGAGTGGGGCTAGCTACGAGCAGCGAAGAGAATTAGCTTCGTTGCACATCGCAGTCCTGTGGCCTGTGCCTCACCCTGAAATATTGACTCTTGATCGGAGGCGAGTCACCAGTCTCGATGTCTTACATGGACGGGCGGCTTTGCAGTTTGCAACGATAAGTGAGCGACGTTCATCTTGTGAAACATGAACGCTACCTAGAGCCTATTTAACCGCAAGTACTTCCTTGTGCTATATTCTAAGTCGTCCGTTCGTGGATATCTTGGGATCTTGTGTTACAATTCATCTACAAAATGATCGGTCTTGTCCTAATTCAGGTCTGATTTGCAGATGCTCTATGCAGCTGCTGCATAATTCCGCACTAGGTGCAATATCCTATACGGAGTAGACGTTCCTATTCGTGAGTGGCCCCGAGTCATAGATGCCATCTATATATCTGCCTACACAGAAGGAACTCTGAATTTTTCATAGGTGATTTCTGTCGCCCGGCGTCAATCCTCGCCTGGAAGAGGCAGCTCCTCCAAGCTTACTTCAACCCCATTCAGGCTACCGCTCCTCCCCTTTAAGCCTACTTTAATCTTATTCAAGCTGCTTCAAGCTCACCGATACTCCCTTCCTATTCGCAGGTATGATAGGGCTCATGCCGGAATTCCATGCGCCACTCAGCAGGACGTTCGGGGGCTGCTCGTTTTTTCCAGGGTAATGGCGGGGGTGTTGTGGGATTTCTGCACCTCAAATCCACCCACGAAATTCTGTTCGATTGAGTCACTTGAAGTGACTACGCCGGTGTCTAAGAATTCAGTTTACTGGGGAATGTACTTCATTTTCATATTCGTATTAAAGAGGCTCGATATCTTTTAGCCGGGAATGATTGGCTCGGATTACGAGTCTGATGTCTTGCAGATCATTGTCGCAAGGTGTCGATACCTGCAGAGCACACAGGATGCGGCAAGGACTCCTTACTTGCTACACACAGCCCTGTTTACTAAGCGTCGTACTAAGGTAACGGTCTCTTTGTAATAATAGCGATAAAAATAGGGGATTAGGAAACCACTGTAATAAGAAGTGACGTCTGACTCTATTGATATTTATACGAGATGACATCTATGCATTACGCTTTACGTCAAATTCGACATATTTTTCAGTTCCAAGTTTATCAAACATGGCTGGAGCTTGGAAAGGTCACAACGGTCCTCGAATATTGACTGAAGCGCAGCGGGAGAGAAAGCGAGAGAAAGATCGAGTCACAAAACGGGAGGAGAAATTGAAGACACAGCAGAAGATCCAGGATCTTGAAAAGTCAAACAATCTGAGCGCTAGAAGAATCAAGGAACTCGAGGCCCAAGTTCGTACATTGTTAGACACGTGTCGTTGCACGGGGATGTCTAGCCTGCCTGGATGTGCATCATGCCAAATGACCTACCACCAATACCCAACACTCTCAGATTATCACGAAGAAAATGAAGGGGTCGCGACATCAACACTAGACAACACGAGAGCGTCCAGTGGGCATATCGAGGAAAGCGTCTCTGGCTTCTTCTCCGTGGATAACGCTATCTCGATCGATATGAAGCCTTTCTTCCATACACTTCAAGCCCACAAAATGTCAGACAGATCTCCATTTACCGATACACACAGCTCTTTGAGCTTGACACCAAGCCCGATAAACAACCCCGACCTTGAAGGCTATGATCTAGGATATACTTCATTGCTAGATCGTACCCAGAGAGAACCAGATGGGGTACAGACTATACGCTTTCCTCGTTTGAGACAAACGGGGTAGAGCTGACAAACATGATCATTGGTTTGGAACACCTGGCAAAGTTATGTGAGGGCAGTTCTCTATATCACATGAATCAGCTTCAAACACAAATAGCTCCTAAGGTGAAATCACGTCATTTGAAGTTGTAATGCTGTTTCAAGGTAATCAATAAACCTTTAGAATGGCTCGACAAACATTCCCCACTTCTCAATCCTCAACGTCAGGGAGACTTAAACAGCCTTTCCGAAGTCTCTTAAAAACGAGATTGTGCGAACACCGATATTTTGCAGCAAGCTCGAAGGGACGAGCGGTATGACGATTCGGCTGGAAACAAACACTGGTGGTTGGGGTTTGAAAGAACAGCAAGAATGTATGCCTACAGCTATAGGAGCGTCTTTGTTCAACGGGTGGGGCGCTGGATTTCTCTTGGGATTTATGTGTCATTTTGGCAATAAGATTTTCAGAAGTCCCGGTTTAAACGCTGGGTCTTTGCTTTGGAATCTCAATTCCGTATCATACTCTTCTATATTCTGTATAATGATATTCCTTATATCCTTGGCGAATTTGACGTCTCCCAACTGCTGTGAAATTGTTTATCTATCTCAACTCGAATCTTCCTAAGTTGCACTGACGACATCCAATGTCTGTATCAAGGGAGAAGAGGGAGAGATAGGCCATGATGATGAGGATCACCTGTTAATTAAAGGTGTCCTTGAACTAGAAGTTCACAACGCACAACAATGCGAAATAGAGGAGTATGCATTTGTTCCAAATAAAAGAGAGGCAAGCCCCACAGTCGTAGTTGAAATCGAGCGAAAAGGGGTTAAGCGAGGTGGGTCAAACAACGAGACAGGGGCACACAATCTTGCCTGATTCTTTCATTTGAGAGCCTGACTTTGAGTAAAACAATCACCAAATATTATAATATTTTCAATAATGATTCCCTTTAAACATATGTGCGACACTACTAAAATATATGGAAGCAAAGAAGAGCTTGACTATCAAGTATATCCCCTCACAAACTCCCGTTGGCGCACGAATCGCAACTTCAAGTTCCCGAGATTCTTGTCTAAAGATTGTATATTTTTCGAGTAAGTGTTTAACACGTCTCTGATCTGGACGTATTGCTTGGTCTTAACCTTTATGTAGAAATCGAGGAGGACATACTTCCGGGTTCTGCATCGTAATGGCTATTGTAGATACGTTAGCATCATAACCGCCGCCGTTCGAATAGAGTGTGAAAGCTCCGGAGCGGCCACTGCACTCGCGACTAACAGGCAGCTGTATACTATGATGAGGCTTTTGGATTGGTATTAATATACGGTTAGGATCGATTGTGTGGTGACGTTTGTCGTTACGGTATTGCTGTATTTTATTTCAATCACTCATTCCGTTGCAGAAATTTAGATTAGCGGAATGATAGAGAGTTTATTACAGTGCGTTATAGATGAGAAGACACAACGTTGGATTAAGTGCAAAGTCCTCGATATCCTAGGCAAAAGTAACATTTCTGATTTCCTGCCCAGAGCCACTCTGGTCGGGCATCTGGCCATCGAGTGAACTTGGGATGATGTGGTCAAGTACGTGTTCAATATTTCAGAATGGTTGGTGATTCTGGGCATTTTCGATTTACGATGACTCAAGGAAACGGTCCTCATAAGATATGTACTAATTTGTTCAAGATAAGCAAAGTATGAAAACGGCGACATCGCAGATCCTACAGAAACAATCTTGTAAAATATAAAACCCTCCAACAACCCCTATTTGCAGGTATCTTATACCTCATCTCACATCCGTCCCCCTCGAATCTTTGTCCACCTTTCACACAACCGTGGGCTATTGCTACGCTCAACATAATATCCCCCCTGCCATTTAACCTACAACCCCCACACCGCCGTTCCAACCAGAAGTAGCCCCACCACTCCAATATTCACCCAACTACACTCAACTCTCCGCAATCCAGAAGTAGCTGGTGGTGTTTGCCAGTGGCAGTACAAATCACCAGCACCGGCCTCATTTAGACAAGTTTCAAGGATCTCCATGTTCTGATACAGCTGTGCATACGTGCCATTCGTGATATTGCACATTTGAAAACATCCCGGTGGTGTACCAAAGATACTGTATGGATACGGCGTGTTATTCGGCCCACAGCAGCTGGAAATGTTGGCTTGTGTTGATGCTGAGTAGTTGCCCGACAGCCACGCACATGTATTATTAGGGCCGGTGAGCTTGTCTTCGTAAGGTTCGCTGCCGGCGCAGGTGGGGGTGCTGTTCCATTGGGAGGTGGTCATGTTTAGGGATGATGTAGTAGAAACTTTTCCGAGGAATTGGGGAGTCGAGGAAAGGTGGATGAGAAGAGTTTTGTGCTGTACCGTTAGTGGCCCAGAGGAACGGCAGTGAAATTGCGGTGTTGGAAGGCAGTTGGAAAACTTATACTAATACGCAATAGGATGATATGCTTGACAGCTATCTTAACTTTGCGCGGGCAAGCTTATGCTTATGTAGGATAAAATATTTGAGAGTTACCCCCGGCTTTACGAGGGGCGATGTGGCGCAGAACCAACATGTTGGTTCCTCGGGTTAGATGATCTTTGTGCGTGCATGTTGTTACACGTTTTAGCTTGGAGTTGGTGTAACTTCAAGTTCCAAAGGTTTTTAGCAAGTTGAAGAATAAGATATGAGAAGGTTTAGCAGGGGCTCTTGTGATGAATTCCTGGTGCACAGCACTAACAACTGTTGATAGAGAGAGGAGGGGGGGGGGGACTTTCGAGATGATGAAAAGACCAGCAAGCAAAATTTAGGTGGCTATTCACAGAACCAATCAGTATTTCAAGTGTTGTAATATCCTACCACCGTACGTACAAACCAATACCAAGGGGAAGTTGGGTGGCAAAGGTGCCATCTTGTGCCGCAAAAACAAACATTATAGCCTCGCTTCTTACCACACCAACATAGTCCTTCAGCTCTCCTCAACATGCCCTGCATTCTTATCTATTGTAAACTTCGAGGTAGGAGCCATTATCCCGCTCGATCTGACATGCATGAGGAATCCACCTGTTGTTTTTAAGTTTCATACTCAATCATCTGATGAGTTCAAAAGTCTAGACCTGCTTTATACCCAGCAACAACGTCTTCGAACGCTCTTATGCCAACAACCTTTGCAGATATATTAGAATACGATCCTCGATCTTTTATGTACTTTGCCAACATGTGCCCTTTTTTTCACGTGGAATCTGCATTCGCCATCGTCATCTGCAACGATACGAACCTCAAACCTTCTTTTGTGTCTGTCACACCACCTTTTCTTGACGTATAATCTGCACGCGTGCCTTCTCCTGCGTTTTTAAAAGTACCAGTTATAGTAATAAGTATCCTTGAAGGATTCGTTAATGTCATTCCTAGTTTACAGTCAAGTCAGCCATAAACTTCTTCAAGAAGGGGTTACAATTCGGGATCAGTGGACTCTGAGCTACCAACAGCACAAGAAGGATTGAATACAGTTATGGGATTTATAATTATTCGTCTCGAAGGATTCCTTGACATGAAATCTATGTTTGTAAAATTGAGAAAAGCATCTATAAATATAGAAGCATGCCTTTGCCTGAACTTCCCTATTAACCCTCACCTACGGCAAGCTTCTGTCGAAAATTCTTCATTCACTCAATCTACAGTCAGCACTCTGCCGCTTCATACTTATACACTTTCTTCCTTTCCTGCCCGGCTCAATTCCCATATTCCGTAATTGAAAGACTTTACAATGTCAACTTGGAATGCGTTGCTCTTTTTGAGTATCATTCCCACTTCAATAGCAATTCCACTGGAAACCCGAGGGACCGATTGCAATCCGTCGAGTATGACAGTTGATGAGGTTCGGCCCCAGCTCTTTTGGAGACTAATGAGAGAACTAACAACTTGCAGAGAGTTTGGGACTGCCCCCACAAGTACATGCTCGATTCAAGCGGAAGTTGCTCAGGAAACATCCCAAAAACTCCTAGCCCCGGCTGCACGGCGTATTGCGAGATGTCTCTCGCCATGGGATATGGCGAAGAAATCCCCATTCCCGAAGGCTACTGCGGAGACCAAACCCCCAACTGTCCATGGCAGGCTTCCAAAACTGTTTCTACTACTCAAACCTGGGAGGTTAATACAAACCTGGGTCTGAGCACTAGAGAGGAAGCTGTTCCTGAGAGCGCAGCTTTGACGGCCTCCTTCACCGTCGGAGCTAGCTATTCTTACAGTAAAACCCTCAGCTACACTACAAGCGCTGGAGCTGGCAAGATTCTGGGACCGGGTCAGTGCGGCTGTGAGTATAACGAGTGCTTTGAAGTTACACTTTCCCGTTTTCATTATCGTATCTTTGTTAATTGAACATCGGGCATATGATCCTGAAGCTCAAACTATTGTTGAAGAGAAAAAGACTGACTTGCCCATCATTTAGACTGGACATATGTTCCCTATGTCATGACGTAAGCCTCCTCTACTCTTCGTTTCTTTCGCTCCATTCTTCATACATAAACCATAATAAGACAACCAACTAACATCGCCAAACCAGGTCTTGCGGCACACTCAGCTCAGAGGGTGAGACGATTCCACCTCCGCCCTCAAGTCTGAGCGGCGGCGCCTCCATTCAGTCTCCACCCTTGTGCGGGGGTAAACAGGGTGGCAAAGTCGTGGACACACCGAATTGGTGCAATAAAGCACCCTATCAGGATAGCGACGGGCATTCGGCGGGGCGTGTGATATTTGTTTACGTGAATTGCACTACCAACAAACTGCTGCAAAACTCTGAGATCCCCCAGACAGCACCAAATAACCCGGGACCTCAAACACAGCAACCGCAAGTGTTCTACCCAGGTGTCTTCACGGGGGCCGGTGCACCAAATCAAAAAATATGAAAGGCTCTTTTGGAGGTTGCTCTTTTTGGGGAAATGCTTACTATACTTTATTGGAGGTTAGGTTTTCTTAGGCCTGTTATCTGCTATGCAGTGTTTTTGGAAGCTGATTTAGGGGGGGGGGGGGGGGGTGCTTGCGATTTTTTATTGGAGGCTGCTATTGATATCATCTGTTTTCCCTTTTCAACCAAAAAAAAATCGTGTACTTTTGAAAAATCTCATTACAATTATTCCGAACTCGCTAAAGCTTTTAGTAGTGTTGGTATCACAAGGTGATCACTTCACTACGAGTGTAGGTCCGTAGTTTATGGTCTTGGTAGTTGCATTGGTTATTGGGTTTGTATGCAGATCCAGATCCAGATGCTAGATCTGCGACGAAGACGAAGAGGTTATGCGCTTAGTCAGCTAGCGCTAAATCACATGACTACCAAGGCTCCGTCATATTATCCACACACTTCTAATTCCATTTCCAAAAAAAGAACAAAGAAGTTATATGTAATCATAAACGCAAAAAAAAAGTAATGCACATATTCATGAATCCTGGTATATTTCATCCAGGTTCATATAGGAATCGAACCAATATCTCCGGAATCAAAATCCGACGTGCTAACCATTACACCTAAAACCAATTCCGCAATTAGCTTTTGCAAGAAGTGAGACTTTGCAAATTGGTATAAAGACATACCAATGAACCGCTGCGAAACGGGTATATGTTTTGACACGGATGCGTCTATTTCCGTATATATAGGCCCGGAGGCAAGTGGTGGCGAATTTTGCCTGGGGTGGGCGGGGCACGTGATTGGTTGATGGGTAATGGGGAGATGGAGGGGGATTTGGGTGGTGGGGTGTGCTTTGTTATAAGATGTCTATAGAATAGACTGGTGTATATTGCTTGCAAGTTGTATTAGAGTCATTGCTATAGTTGTGAGCATGCAGGAAAAGCTTGCATAAGAAGTTGGTTGAATCGGGGGTATTTAGGCAAGCTTAAATAAGGGAGTATCGGTAGGATAAAGCTCGTTTGAATATTATATGGTTTACTTATAGAAGGCGGTATATGAAATATATCCTCTAGCTCCATCAAACTCTCTGTTCGACAAGATGGATGCTCGGCGTCTTAACCTCCTAGCATACTCACTCTTCATTCTCTACTTATTCATAATTTCATGAAAACATGCCATGCCTATAATGTTATACGGGAAGCTACTCATATCTCCATGTATCTGCAGCGCCAGATCAAGATTGTCCTTTCGAAGTATCAAAGACAAAGGAGAGCCTCCTGCCTTATGCAAAAAGTCTTCTATACTCAGCGCATTAAATAGCCTTGTCAGAGGGGTGGCTTGGCTATACTTACCCTAATACCGGTAGATGATTAGGTTGATCGATAGACTGAAACTAGGACGTCCAGGTTAGAATTGTGATAAATTATAGCCCCTCCTAGCGTCCGTGAAGACTAAATTGTATGACGTTGTATAAGGGTAGGAGCATCTCTGGAGTCTGGACCATCAGACACCGTGACACGGCGGCTAGAAACATTGGCCCATATTTCGAAGAATCGAAGAATCGTCTATATACTAGTGGAGACCTGATGCCCCACAGTCTCCCATCAAGCGTCACCACTAAGCTATCAAGGTGTATTTTTGGGTTGAGCATCGTACAGTACCTGGGTGGTTCTATTGTGCTCACACGGGAGGGAGGTGAAACCACGAAATTCCTGTCCATCCAGATCAGACGACAAAATGCGTATCTCCCCAAACATAGAAGAGAGCTTCATAATTTATATCATAACGCCCGCCCGGCGATAGGTGAGACTGAACAATACATATTTGACCTTGATCTCGAGGGAGACCGTAAGAAAAACGATATGAGCTCCTCCCTTCATGAATATAGATGCCAGCCTTGGGCAAAGAACAGTGCTTCTCGAAGCAAGTTGCATAATGATAGGAGGAAGAATTTGATATTGGTGGGGTCTTCATGTCGAATGTCTCGGCGGCACTTTTGTGTCATGAAGCACTGGCTATTGTGGTGGCACAACCAAGTCAAAAGAAAGGGAAAAAAGGGGGACCTGGACTTGTACCACTCGTACCTTGATGACAATAACGCAGATTGGTCCTAATAAACTTATGTGATGAAAAGAAATCCTTGAAACTCATGGAAGCTGACCCATTGGATATGTTTGACAACTTGAGATGCAGATGCATATGCAAGCAGCCTTCTCAAACACAATACGTTGGCTTCTATTCTAAGCCACCCGCTTCGGGTTAGTACAGCATCGGCGTTACTAGCAATTATTACCCGACCTGAATAACCTCCTAAATGTTGTCAACTATACGAACGAAACTCACGACATTGCTACCGCTACACCACTACGCAGATACAATTATGGTGTTTCCCAATGGGCCATATCCTCGCTGAACGAAGCCCACCATGCCTCACTCGACACGATCAACGTCCGCGAGCCGCATCTCCAACTTCAAATTTCCAGCCGATCAATCCACAAGCCTGCGCACGTCGATGGAGAAGTTCCCGGACCACGTAGAGTCCCTAGATGGGTCGCCCATATATACGGAGAGTCCAAGTGCAATAAACGGGAAGAGCCTGTTGCATCCATCGCAAGCCGCTGATCGATGGCATCCGGGGCTCTCGAGGATCGACAGTGGGGATGTGCGCAAGCCGCCGTACAGTACTGGCGGGAGGGGAATTGGGCATGGAAGACAGAAGAGCTTGAGCGATGCCTTTAGGACGATACGGACGCGGAGTGGGAGCATGAGCCAGAATGTGCACGAGATATCAGATGCCTTAAAGGCGCCGGTGTCGCCCAAGCTTATTGTTCGTAATCCCCCAATTTAACTGATAATATATCTTCAACTGCTGATGTCCGATTGCTGTAGACTCTCTGCATAATCTGGTATTTCTCCAGCGCCCTAACCAACACCTCTTCGAAAAGCATCCTCAATGCATTTCCCAAACCCGCAACCCTGACCCTGATCCAATTCGGCTTTGTTTCATCATTCTGCATCTTTTTCTCCTGGCTCAGTTCTATCTTCCCCGCCTTAAAACAACATATCCCCGCCCTCCGCCACGGCATCCGCCCCCCCACACGGGAAGTAATAAAAACAACACTACCCCTCGCAGCGTTCCAAATAGGCGGACATCTCCTATCCTCAACCGCAACTGCAAAGATCCCTGTATCACTCGTGCACACAATCAAAGGCCTCTCCCCCCTTTTCACCGTCTTCGCATATCGCATAATCTTCGACATCCGCTACCCAATCGCAACATATCTCTCCCTGATCCCACTCACACTCGGCGTCATGCTCGCCTGCTCAGCCTCGTTCCGTGGCAACTTTTTCGGGATCCTATATGCGTTCCTCGCGGCCATAATATTCGTCACGCAGAATATATTCTCCAAACGGCTATTCAACGAAGCGTCACAGGGCAGCACGAGGAAATTAGACAAGCTGAACCTGCTATGTTACTCGAGCGGACTAGCGTTTGTATTGACGTCCCCGATTTGGTTCTGGAGCGAGGGGATTGGGCTATTGAGTGATTTCCTACACGACGGCTCACTTGACCTGGTTCAACACGCCAACACATTCGATCACGGGCGTTTGGCGCTCGAATTCCTATTTAACGGCACCTTCCACTTCGCGCAGAATATCCTGGCGTTCATCCTCCTGTCCATGGTATCACCTGTTACGTATTCCGTCGCCTCGCTCATAAAACGCGTCTTCGTCGTCGTCTGCGCCATCATCTGGTTCCAGAACCCCGTATCAGGCGTCCAGGGGATAGGAATCGGCCTCACATTCCTAGGACTGTATCTCTACGACCGGACGAATGAGCGGAGCCGTGCTGATCGGAAAGCGAGCATGATGGATGTGAAACCTACATCTATCCTCCCCACGTCCGGCTCCAATACCAACGGCCTGGCACTGGCCAATGGAAACGGGAACGGACTCAGCATAGCGCCCACGCGGGGCATGAGCAACGGCTACGCGCTTAGCAGCGTAGGCGAAGATAAGAAGAACGAGACGAGGGGCCGGTCGAGCAGTCACGCGCACGCGACGTGGATGCCGCCGGGGACGAAACAGGAGGATACGTGGATACCGAATGGGAATGGGTTGGGGATATCTGTAAACTAGGCTGGGGCTGGTAGGATCCTATAGGATAAGAGGTTTTCATATCAATGATTGAATGCGAGATACAATATAACAAAATACAACACAACACAACAACACTATACAAAACAACAACAACACAATACAACACGACATATAGAACTGGATAGATGGATGGATGGATGGATATAGAAACCCAACCTGGCGTTTTTTGGAATAATTTGGATTGTATGATACTCCGTACAGCACAGTACAGTACAGTACAGTGGAGGAATAGATATATGTGTGCCACCACCACTACTACTACCTCTTATTCAAAACCCCAGTCTTTAGTTCCAACATATGTATGGTGTGATGTAGTGCCACGGCTAAGACACGTTTGTATCCTATTCCGCAACACCTGTGAAATGCATCATAACAATCCATTCCTTCTATTCATTTGTTATGTTTTCTTGCATGTCGCGTTCTATAGTTGCTCTTAGCAGAGCAGAGCAGAGGCTCAGGGAGAGGAACGAAGTATACTGTACGTGGTATACGAGCTGCAAAAATTCGTATGCACGCAAGCGCGAGAGAAAAGGAGCGCTACCTCTCTGTATTTTACATTTAATACATTTGAATCTCTTCCCTATCTATGCGTAGTAAGATTACAAATCAGCGCGGACTTTTGTATACAGTCTGGAGCCAAAGCCAAAGAGCTTCCTTTGCAACCTAGTGTCTGTTTGTTCAACGCCAGACCATCATAGTTCCGCCCTATGTGTACAACCCATGTCATAATACATCTTCATCCATCCCTTCGTGAGTGTACGTCCCTTATGGCGGACGCATCTCATCGCATGTCGTAGCAGCGCATCCCATAATACATTTTAGATCCCTAGTTCATCCAGGAAAGCAACGCAGTAACTCCAAAGCAAAACAAAGTGGGGTAGTAACACATTTTCAAAACAAGTAATCATCACAATGCTCCTTGACAGCGTCAAGGCAATTTACCAAGCATATCCATCAACAACAGGATCTTCCCCGTTCCAATCCTCATCGCCAGACGCTTCTTCATCCAAGAAATCAGCTTCTGTGACTTGCACCTCGGTCGGTCTCAGATTGTCAATCCTAACTTCAACAACTTCGCACATGCCCTGAATGACCTCTCGTGCCTTGCCCTTGCCCTTGCCCTTGATTTTATTAAGAATCGGCTCATCGTCATCTGAGCTGGCGGCGGCGGGTGAAGATGGGTTGTCGGATGGGCTGTCTATGCCTGCTGTTTGCTTCAGGATGGCGAGCTCACGCGCAAGACCATTGGGGCGTGAGCTTTTGAAATAATTATCAGGAAGTTGGTACTCAGCCTCAGGCTCTGCATCCGAGTTGTCGGGGGACTCAGCGTAGAGGCCTGGCTGAGTCGCCGTGCGTTGGGAGCGTCGAGCAGGTGAAGGTGCCGTGGCTTCAGTTGAACTTGAGCCACCATAGCTGATGTGCGGCATTGTGCGATCTCGAATTGGTATGGCCGTCTTAACCTTCGGATGAACCACTGGCCCCGTGTCAGCTTCCGGCTCATCGCAAGATCGAATGCTGACAATATGTCGAGGAGGCTCGGAGACTCTCTTGAAAATTCGGTCTAGAGATCCAATCCATTTCTCCCGGAACGATGCCCTGTCTCTCCACCCAACACTTATAATACACTGCAGTGCCAACTTCCTTAAGTCTGGAAGGTTTGCTGCGCTATCGAGAAGACTTTGAAAAAACATTTCTGCAGCATCGGTCTCCCATTTGCGCATGTTAGTCAACTCAATGGTTTGGAGAGTTGTTGGCCAGACTGGAATCTGGTCAGGAAGCAAGAGCTGAGCATACAATGGCTCTGAATCTCGATAAGCAGTGCTCCCATTATAATATGACAAGTTCATCTTGAACACTTGCAAATGCGGACAAGCAATCCCAAGAACAGGCAAGAAGCCTAAGCTAAGTCTCTGATTATGGTTAAGAACCAAAGTCCGAAGTTGGTTGCCATGCGTGAGGAGGAATGCAGCAATATGATCCGCCTCTAACCCTGCGCAATTAATAAACTCTAGATGTCGCAAGTTTTTGGGCAGCAGAGGCAACAAGTCCTCGTCACATATGGTCGATGCCTCGAAAACCAAATGCTGGAGATTCTTCAGCGGCTTTAACGAATCAGCAAGTATTATTTGTCTCGGGTGCACTCCTTTGCCATCAGGAATCTGGTAGTCAACAAAACCAATCTTCCGAAGTGCGGAAAATGATGGTTTGAGATGGACTTCACGCATCTTCTCAATATCCCATATACTCCCAGCGAGTCTTCTTGACCAACGCCAGCTTCTCAGCCTACAGACGCTGGTTTTATCACCCCTCATAGGGTCAGCTGCAGGGTCGACGTATTCCAAGGCATCAAAGAATGACTCTGGATATGTCCACTTGATATTATCATTTAACTGTCGATAGGGTGCCATGTCTTTTTGGTGGTACAGCTCCAAATCCGCCAAGCGTGGCAGATCTTTTATCAGGTCTCGAAGATCCAGGTGTCCGCTACCCGTAAGAGAATAAGCAACGACTTGACCAACATCAATGTGAAGTGACTGGATTTTCTGTCTGTATCCAAATGCCATTTGACGAGGGTCACTTCGTAATATATCAACCAGCCTGTGAGCTTGAACCATAGGGACTAAAGGTGGCGAGGAATATAGAGCTGTGAGCGCGGGTTCTGTGAACTGGCGACACAACCTGGCCATTTTCAGGAGCCAAGTTGCAGATAGCGAAGGCTGAAATGTGCAAACATCATAGAGAGGGTAGGCTGCATATTTGAAAACTTGCAGGAGGACGTGGTATGGGAGGCTTTGCCACTGTGGAATGACCCCTGAACCAACGATATTGTTACTGGTGAAGGAGTTTGCAAGTGATTTAGGAGATTTTGGAGTTGGCGGCCTAATCGTCTTGCGTCTCTTGGTCTTTGGGAGTTCGTCGTCGGACTCATCAGAGTGGTATGTGCGACGTTTTGGTCGATAGTCGATGCTTCCTGGAAGTGTATTGGATTTTCTGCTCCCTCGGATTGGGACTTTACGGGTAGAGTGTCGAGAGGGGGGCGGTTGGGCTGGTTCAGTATCTAGCAACTCGTCCTCCTCGGTATTGTCAGATTGGTATGCGCCAGCTCGCCTGCTAGACCTTCTAGGCTGTACCCGAGACCGTACTGTACGGCGTGAAGATGATTCCCCCAGCTCGTCCAAGTCACTGTCAAGGTCGGAATCGGAGGAGGGCTCAGCGTAGGAAATGGCGTGTTTTGTTCTAGGAGTCGGCAATTAATAGTGCTCTTGTTAGAATATTCGCAAGACGCGAAATTTAAAAAGCAGACAATAGATCGGTGATAGGATACGAGGTGTGAATAAACTCACCTAGAAGATCGTGGTGATGCACGCAGGCTACGACGGCGAGAGACAGTAGCAGACATGACTCGGGGCGTTGGAGATGGAAAAGCAATTGCACGAGTGGGTTTGTTTCCTTTATTTATGAGGCCATATTTGCACAGCTCGTTGGCAGGTGGTGTTATAGAGGGCGAGGGAGGGGTTGAATTTGTTGATGTTGAAGAGTTGCGGGTGGACTTATGGTCATAGAGCCGCAGCGCAGCGCAGCCTTACAGTACTGATGCAGGCTCGCAGGGCAAGGGTTATCTGGTGGCGCTTTCCCCTATTAGGCCCAGCTGCCGAGGTACCTCCGATACGCGTGACTTGAGCCTTGTCCCTGCATCTGGGCCTGCCTGCACCCCAAATAAAATATCTAGCAGTGCAAGGAAATCAACAACAGCTCTGCGTTGCATTGGCGATACTCAGTCCATCGTTTCTATACGTCCACCCCCCGCAAAGAAAATGCTGCTCAAACAAGACACATTTACTCATCCGTAGTAATTTCTATATACCTACACTCGTTTGCGACTTCCCGTTTAATATAGAGATCTTTATAGAACCTCATCACGTTATCGCTGGACGCGTCCTGGAGAAGAGTGCATTGTGTGGTCGGCCGGCGCCTGTACCTTTACATTTACCCTCTACTTCTGCCTCACGCGCATTCCAAAGCAAAGCAAAACATAAAACAATCTCTGCGGAACAAGGCATCCCAAGGCATCCAAGACCACCTGCAAGCAAGACCTTTTGTATGGACTTCTCCGATCGCTTTGTGGCGGCTAGCCAGCCCCAGCTATGAGCCATGTCAGCGCCATTTAGCTTTGGAGTAGGTGCAGGCGCGATCTCCTCCTCTTCCCACAACATCAAGCATCTATCACTTTTCCAGCACTACCAGAAGAGAAAGAGCGCCAGACCATTCCTCGCGCGGAATGTGCGCGCCGTCTTACACGCTCTGACTATGGGTTCTAAAATATCAAAAATGTCGTCTCCGTTCGCCGGCGCAAAGCATCGACTCTCGCCAGAAGTCGAAGACGAAGACGAAGATCACCAACCGCCAATGAAGCGCCGGCGACTCAACACATCACATCACCCCCCCAGTGGTGCTGCTACTGAAGATGAGCTGGGCTTTCGCAAGCCGTTTGGTCAGGTGACCAATGAGACTGCAAGACAGCTATTCAAACCGCGGCCAGGCCCTGTGCAACCGTCCGACTTCTATGGCAAGACGCGAAGGACTGTGCCAGGAAAGCGGCATTTTTCAGACATCACCACTGCCCGCGAGAACTCTGCTGGTCAAGCTCTTGTGCCTAAGAAGCCGACCGACTTTAAAAAATCTTTGCGCGTCGAAATTACCGAAATTGGCCCAAGACCTAACGAGTCAGATGTAAGGCTGGCGGTCAAGAAGCCCCTGCAGAAAATCAAATGCAACTTGCTAGTTTCAATATTTGGTCGCAAGAACGAGGCAGAAGGATTCGTCGAAAGGTGCAGGCGTTCCAAGATATGTACGCTTCACGTCAAATTCGAGGATGGAGTCTTAAAGAGGGCATTTGACGAACCTCAATCGTTCGTCTTCCTCCCCCACGAATTCTACATGAATCGAAGGTCCAGGACAGTTACGGACAACGACGACGTAATAGAGAACGAGTTTGAATGTACCTTTGGCCTCGCAGATCGGTATAGTCTCCAAGTCAGGATAGAGCCTGTGGGGTATCATGAGGCTTGGCCTCCAGTCAATGTTCCTGTAGCCGATGAGTCGGACGAGCACCAGAGAGGATTCGCAATATCCAAGGTTATTGAGGACAAAGAGGCTAGTTGGATTGATATTAGTCTTTTGGCCGAGACGAAAGCTTTTATGAACGCTGGCAGGCAGACCCCAATCCCAAACCTAAAACTATCTTTTGGGCCAAAGACGCAACCGTTAGACGACTTTTTGAGTCTAAAGGTTTTTTGGGCGCTTCCGAGTCATCTGAGCGTGGTGACTTCGAATACTGTAGAAGCCGAGTGTCCCGTCGAGACGCCGGCAAAGTTTGAAGCTGTTCCTCCAGCATCTCCAGTTCCGACCAAGGTCGAAGAGCTTTCAATGGCGGAAAGCCCTGCTAATGGTCGTAGAGCTCGGAAACACATCGAATACAACTTGAAGAAGCTAAGTGCTCAAGCTCAAGGTCGTTCCCCGAGAGTCTACAAACATCGGGAAAGCAATGCGTCGCCCAGTGATTCAGGGGTGACTGTGACCTACACACTTGGGAGCTCGGAAGCTGCGGAACTCAATGTCAAGCGGGAATCAAAAATATCTGGCTTGATGTGTCCGTTTTGCGGGTGTTCTAATAGATCTGTTAGTCTCTTGACATTTCACCTCCAAAATGAGCATATCACCTATAAATTCCAGCTTCGACGGGCTGAACCTAGGGTGCAATACTTTATCACAACCGTCAGAAGTCGCCCATCAACCAACGAACTTGGTCGGACTCTTCAATTTACTAAACCCACGACGGTATTTGAGCTCGAAAGGTTTCTTAACGGTGACGAATCTTGGATAAAATCCCGCTATGGACCGCATCATCACGCCTTGCCCGAGCACCTTAGACTTTTACATCTTGACGGGGGCCAGGGATCTTCTTTATCGTCATCTTCTCTTGGTTCCAGATACAGTTCACCAAATACATCTAACGACACGGATGATATGACGGATCTGGAGTCTCGATTGAAAGCCTTTTCCGCAACGCGCCCAGTGAAATCAAATAAAAGGCTGTACGTTCCACATACAGCCAAGCCTCTCTATGACACGATTACGAAGCGAGTATTGGAGCCAGGTGAAGAGCTTCCCAATAGCGATGATGAGAAGGAGGAAAGCTGGCTGATGTTAAAGCATCGGGATGCTATAAACGACTACACCGACTTGACGGACGAAGAGAAAGAGTATATTAATAAGTGGAACCCATTCATCATGGAAGAACACCTGACAAGCGCGAAATATCTCGGGCACGCTTTGCATCGTTTCGTGTTGACGAATAGGATGTGGTTCGCAGAAACGCCAGGGAGGGCACATGAATTTCAGAAACAATGCCAGTCATATAAGCTTCGTGGCATCATTACTCCAGAAACAAGGCTGGAATGTATGAAAATCATTCGTGGGGCTTGCCAGGAGAAAGAGAACCTGAAGTACGAAAGAAACAAAGCCAGCAAGAGAAAAGAGGAGCAGAGTTCGAAAGAGGATGTTGAGATGACCGGGAATGATCAACTTGATGCCGATACGAAGGAAAACATCCCCAAACTTCGGGATGCAACGCGCTGCATTTGCGTTGAACATGTAGAGTGGGCTGATAGGGTTATCTGTGCTGGATCATCCGCCAGTGTAAGTATTTCGCTCTGATATGAATCTCGTAACACCAAGCTGACTGTTTTTACAGAAATGCCCTGGTAGATTCTACCACCGCGAATGCGCAAAGAAGTCAGGTCGTCCAGTCAAGGGGAAGTGGCTGTGCGACCATTGCTTTTCACTCGAAGCTCCTGCATCATAACGGACGGCATTATATCCAGGGTCGGGAATTAGCATGGAGTTGGCAGGCGGGACATGTTTTTAATCTTGGGCAATGTATATTACTTGTATGTATAAATCTTGGGGTGGTGGTTGGGGGCTTTGGGTAAGGGGATGGGATGGGATATGGGGCATACATGTATGCAGTGGGACATTTGATTGCCAGCTTGTATTGTCAGATACACTGGGGCAGCACCCCACCCACGCAAACCAACGCAAAGTCGAAGAAGGAAAGCAAAAGATAGATTTAAACTTGAGACTAGTTCTTTTGATATCACGTGATGCATGTAATGTTCATCTCACGCGGATTGGTCGCCTTACGATGGGACGATAATTATGATTGGGTTGAGGCTCCATATGGCTGTACACATCACATGTTGCTTTCTTGGGAAAGAAGCAACGGTTCGCGGAGTCTAAAACTATAAAAATTCATTTACATAGAACGCATTGTCGACGGTGAGGGTATATACATTTGCACGTTTCCATTTCTATTGTTCTCTGGCAGAGCGTTCTTCGTCTATTCTATTTTGGCTGGGAGGCGCGGCGGCAAACTAGAGGTACCATCGGAAAAGCCATCCGCCGTCAGGGCAGGGTAAGCGTGACGAAATCCGCCCCCAAACCAAAGCCAGTACCAACCAACCAGTCCATACAAGTCCAGTCCAGTCCAGTCCAGTGGTGAAGGTGAATCGCAGAAACACAGACTCTCGAAACCTGCAAGCATACGGTACAAGTATCCATCACCACCACCCGACCCCACACCGTCTCTCTGCGACAACTCCCAATCCACAACGTCTCGACACATGACAATTGTCGCTGCCCATCTGCTGTCGCGTATGCTGCTGTCGCGCTACTCTCCTGGTGGGTTGCCGTGCTTTGCGACAATGATTAGCCCTTGACTGGGAATCAATAGCTGCCGACTCACTTGACCGCGGTATCACATTACGATACGATATCTTGTCAAGACGATTTCAACTTCTCGACACGCTACGAATCTAAAGCCTCTTTCGCTGATGTGCTATCCTCTCTGCTCTCTCTCCGCTATTTCCAAGTTCTTTCAACCCCAAATCTACGACAAAGAAAGAAATCTCCGAATACACTCTCGACATCAACCCGCTATTTGATACACACGTCTACCCTACGATGGAGGGTGGGAAGGCCAAGTCGGGCGCTTTCAAGGCTGGTTTGAGCGGGGTGGACAAGCAAATTGCAGACCTAAAAGACCGTTACCTACCCCACGTACGTTCCCATCACATCCCTCTTTGTCCCGCACCCTTGCTCACATCATATCTTCCCAGATCCCCCACCTCCTCTCAATAAACACAGACTACCCCTACCTCCCCGAGTTCCCACACGAGAACCAAAACACGCCTTTTAGATGGTGGGAAGTCAAGGCGCTACAGTACATGACGCTGGTTAGCGACGGCGAGCGCGGCATCGCTATGGCAAAGGGGAACTGGGAAGAAGAGTACGCGGCTCCTCCTAGCGCGAGTGCGAGGAGTAGTGTTGGGACACCGAACA